AATTTTAAAATCAATTCCTGATGAATGAAAAATTGTGGTCCAAAGTCAGAGGAAAAATCGAATTTTCTGCACCTAAAATTGTCTCCCGAGCAACAGCCCAGCGCTGGCGAACAACGGACTCTCTGCTTTTGGCGCTCGAGTGACACATGGGCAACGGTGGGCGATGGCAAAGACTACGACCCTTGACAAATGTTGCTGAATTTTGGAGTGTGTCTCTTCACTCACATCCTCTCCTCATCTATAAAAAAAGACCCTTGGACGTCATGTAACCCTTCCCAATCATAGCATAACCTAAAAATTCATAATTTCTTAGCCGAAATTTTGCATAAAATTTTGTTTTTCATTTCATTCAAAAGGAGTACAAAAGCTATTTGTTTGGTTCGTTGTCCTTATGTTTCAGAGTGCTACAAACACAAGAAGGTATTCGTTGTATTTTGGGAGTTAATGGCCATCATCCTAGGATCCGTTGTGGGCAAAATCGATTTAAGGATGAAGAGTTCAACTCTTGCCTCGACTTTGTATTCATTTTTTGTGTTAATTAGTCCAATTTCGTTGACATTTTAACTTCCAATTTTTTTGTGTTTATTTCTCAATTTCTTGCATGTTGCTCTGTCCAAATTTTGGCAAAGTTGGTAAGTTCAATTAGTTAAAGAAATCATTCAAATCCATTTTACAAACAAACATAGAGGAGATGCAAAGAGGCATGGTAGATAGCGTGGAGAAATGGAGAAATAGGTTGTGTGTCAAATTCAAAGGCTTGTGGGAAAATTAAGGACTCGAAAAAAAAATGGAGGTTGATGATAAAAAATGTCCTGATGAATAGTGGCTTCTATAGCCTTTTTTATATTGTAGTGATTCTAATATTTTGTGTTTGAAAAAAGAATCATTAATTAAATTTTCATCACACGTTTCTACGACCACACATTTATACATTTTTTATCCAGCCCTTTAGTCATCAATGTACGCAACTAGGAGTAAGTTGTTTTCAATTTTTAAGTCGTTAACCATGGTCCTTTTTTAAGTATAAAGGCTTAACTCTGAAGCTTACAACATGTGCCATTGGAGACGTTACCCCGCCCCGCCCCGCCCCGAATAGGGAGAAAAAACCGCCCCGAG